GCAGACCCAAGCCTGCATGCGTTACGACTGGCATGCGAGGCGTTACAGCTGGCAAGGCATGCGTTAAGGTTTACAGGGCGGTGCTTTACTGCCTGCAGGGGCCACGATGCTGGTAGTCCAGGGTCTGCCCACCAGTGTCGCATCCACTCTGGTTTCGGGGTGTCGTCTTGTTTCTCTCTTTGTGTCTTTGTGCGTATTCTTTATCTGTCACTGTCATCACCAGATCTCCCAACTTCGTGAACCGAACTCCCATGTCGAGGCCGGTTCCCGACACAACCTTCTTCCTACTTCTTCTCTGTCTTTACCATTTCTATTTGCCTTTCTTTCCTATTCATTTCTGCCTTCTGAGCTTTATCCCTGTGTACATGCTTTCCTTTTGATCTCATATGGTTGATAGTTCTAAGGAGTGCGTACTTCCTTGGCATTATTGTTCAGTTTGTACATCTATGTATTGTGTGGCTGAAAGTTGAGCCATAGAGTTGTGTTCATTCCAAGACTTAAAGAGTGACAAAGGGCCATAGTCTGGCGGTACTACCAGTCTCTGTCAGACCAGTAAGTCTGGTATTTTTTATGCTTTTGAAGTTTGTTCCTTATTTTTCTCTCACTCTATCCAGGACATCTTACTATGATTCCCTTCAGAGTGGCCAGCAATGGTAGCCAGGCATCAGATAGTTCTGGTATCAGGGTCATGGAGGCTAGGTTTGCCATTAGTCCTTTGGATTGTTAGCATGCATCTTTGAATTTCTTCACTCTTTTTTGCATTAGATGGGGAGGTCAGTAATTACACTTTAGATGACCACTCACAAGCTTTTAAGATCCCAGTAACTATTAAACAAAGTAGGGTGAAGAACGTTGTCTTTGTGGACTATGTTATGGCAATCGACCTTGATGCCCCCCTGTTAAGTAAATAATTTAGTAACATGCAATAAATTTAACTGATTACCACTAGAAAGTAGAACTTAGAAACCCAGAATGTAGAAGACTTGCTTTCTACTATATACATTGTATTCTATTTGAATTTTCACCATAGGCACATGTTTACCTATTAAAAAATTTGTCATGATCTTCTTAATGCTTTTTTTTTTTTTTTAAATAACAATTAGAAATGAGGTTGTTCAATTTTTTCCTTTTAAAAGTTAGTCACTAGTGGTCTTTTTAAGAAGAGCTGTGGCAGCATTAGCTATTAGCATGAGGTGCTTCATGGAGGCCAAATGTGCTCATTTTAACCTATCAGTTATATTATACAATCTGAGATTAAATTTAACATAATACCTCTAGACCACATTAATACTACAAAGACCTCTCTTTTACATATATGAGGGTGATTAAAAAAGTTGGTGGGAAATTTACATAAACTATGAATTCCATTTTTCCATGAAGTTTTTGAAGCACTCTTGTATTTCACCCAGAGTAGTCAATAGTTATCAAGTTGAACTTCATTCAAATCTGTTTTAACAAATAATGCTTGTTCATTTCTTTCCAGTCGTTTTTAATTAGTGTATTCAATGGCCTTACACAAGCTATTTTCTCTCTTTGGTTAAAGTTGCCATTGCCCCAAATGGAGCCTTACAGCTGGCCAGTTCAGGCACAGATGGAGTACAGGGGCTTCAGACATTAACCATGTCAAATTCAGGCAGTACTCAGCAAGGTACAACAATTCTTCAGTATGCGCAGACCTCTGATGGACAGCAAATACTTGTGCCCAGCAACCAGGTCGTTGTACAGAGTAAGTATGCTCAAGTGGCCGTAGAAAGTATGCCAAAATACTTAGAAAGACATTTATGAACTAATTCACTCTTGGTCACACAGCTGCGTCAGGAGATATGCAGACTTACCAGATCCGTACCACACCATCAGCTACTTCACTGCCACAGACTGTGGTCATGGCATCTCCTATGAGTCTTACATCTCAGACAACGAAGACAGATGATCCCCAATTGAAAAGAGAAATAAGGTTGATGAAGAACAGGTAGGTGGTAGAATTAGAATACCAGGATGGATAGTGTTTTTGCAAATCTCAAAATACAACCTAATGTTAATTGGAACTGTATAATAAAAACAGGAACAGAGGTTTATATCAGCTTTATTTTACTGAATGTTAAATTATGTCAAGTTCTTTTCCTTCTTTTTTTATACCCTCTTTTCACTTTATATTTTTTTCACTTCTCCATTCCTGCCCTGCAACCATTTTTCAATAGTGGTCTCATGCAGTATTTGCCTTTTTGTGATTGCCCA